GTACGACACGATTTGCTGGATTTGACTACAATCGGACCGGTTGGAGATGTTTCACCAGAGAAAGCCCCACTGTTGGCTTGTCTACGGGCTCAGCATCATCGCGTTCGGGAATACATGGCCCGTTTTCTCAATGCCCTGTCCTCTTTGTGCCGAGGTCAGTTTGTCCCGTTTGCTCATTGGCATCGCTTATTTTACTCCCCTCTCACCCCTAGGACGTGCATATTTGGGTCAGAATTCCACCGTGGTCAAGTTACTGATTGCCGAATTGATCCGGGAGAAAGATGAATCAGTCACACGAGAAAATATGGTTGGTGCATTGCAAAAAATGAGTTTGCGGTGAGCTTTTTTTGTGCATCTTCTCTGTGCTTCTCCTCGGTGCTGTTTTAATACCCGTTCTTGGGTCGTGCACTTATCTGTCACTTGGATGAGACAGTTTTCTTTTTTTTAGCACAGAAACCGATAACTTTGCCTCTGAAATCCCCCGGTGTTATTCTAGAAGCATGTAATCCTTTCATGAAATCGGTCTATCAAACCATAATTCATCGAGCTGAGGCATTGCATCTTCATTCCTGTCCATCGGTAGAATAGCAACTATATTCCCATTCTGGAATTACTGGTTCAAGTGTTTCCCGGTATTTGCTCTCATCAACCGTGTTGTATACGATTGCACTAATCTAGTTTTTAATACAAAGTTTCGGTGATTCGACAGCGTCGATTCCGGTTCGTAATAGACGACAGTGTGTGTGTGTGTGTGGTGCACGCTAACATGGACTAACATGAAATGGCATTTTGTTCCCGGGCTCGAGATATTCTGACTCAAGTGGACATTTGCTTCTCCTTATGCTGGTTGTAGTACCGATCCGTTTTGGTTCGAACTGCTTGAGCTAAGTTTATGCATACAGATCTTGATGAACCTTCATTTTTTGAAAAATTATTTCTCTCAGGCACGTGTTTTCAGCTTAATTCAGTACAGTCAATAAATTTGTACTTTGGTGCGCCGGTTTTGGTTGCTGTCTTTTGGCTGCCCGTTTGTATGAAGCAGTAGAAAAAATATAGGAAAGTTGAAAGGGGAGTCGAGCACGTGTATGGGATTTTGATTTTCAATGTGCCTATGTTCTGTCTCACCCCCATATTGGA